CTCATTCACCCCCACTGACTCCTTCACTCAGCAGCATCACGATCATCATCGTCATCACTCGCCCACTCACTCACATTCAAATTCACTCACACACAGACCGTCATGATCAGTGTGGCCATCGTTCGATCACAGACACACCCACCTACTCACTCATCATCTGCATCATCCTCATCATCATCATCACTCATGCATTCATTCACTCACTCACCCACCCCTTTCGCTAGCTTCAATATGATGGAGCTATCGGGCGGGAGGTGTGTATATAAGTGGATTGCGAGGAAGTCTCAGGCAGGAACCCTCTCCCTGTGGGGCCCGCAATTCATGTTTTTAGTCCGAGTGGGTCATCCTCGGACTTGTAACTGTCCTCAATTCTGGGCTCCTGAAATTTCAAAATGGGGGAAGTATCAGGCGGGAGCCTCGTCTGTGAGTAAATTCTGAGGGAGGTTCAGGCGGGAGCCCCTTCCCTATGGGGCCCGCATTTCACGTTTTTAATCCGAGTGGATCATCCTCGAACGTGTAAACGTCGTCAATGTTGGGTTCCTGAAGCCTGAATTGGGGGAAAGTATCCGGCAGGAGGCTCGTCTGTGAGTGACTTACGAGGAAGTCTCATGCGGGAGCCCTTTCATTATGGAGCCCGCACTTCATGTTTTTAATCCAAGCGAGTAATCCTCAATCTTGTAACTGTCGTCATTTTGGGGTTCCCGAGTCTTGAATTTGGAGGAAGTATATGGCGAGGAGCCTCGTCTGTGAGTGAATTGTGAGGAACTTCCTTATGCGCTCTTCAGAGGGCGATTCGCCCGACCCATCCGGTGAGGAGGAAGAGGAGGAACAGGAGGTGAGGACGACCACGGCGGCCGGGCGCACGGGGAAACCCTTGCGTCCGGGCCGGGGGTGGTAACCCATCCTCGGTCGAAGCGGGGGCAGGGGGAAACCTTTGTCTCCGGGCTGGCGGTGGCAACCCATCCTCGGCCGAATCGGGGGCACGGGGAAACCCTTGTCTCCGGGCTGGCGGTGGCAAGCCATCGTCAGCCGAATCGGGCGCAGGGGGGAACCCTTGCGTCTGGGCCGGGGGTGGTAACCCATCCTCAGCCGAATCTGGGGCAGGGGGGAACCCTTGTGTCCGGGCTGGCGGTGGTAACCCATCCTCGGCCGAATCGGTGGCACGGGGAAACCGTTGCGTCCGGGCTGGCGGTGGTAAGCCATCGTCAGCCGAATCGGGCGCAGGGGGGGGGACCGTTGCGTCCGGGCTGCGGGTGGTAGCCCATCGTCGGCCGAATCGGGCGCAGGGGGGAACCCTCGCGTCCGGGGCGCGGGAGTGATCGCCCATCGGCGCCCGAAGCCAGTCCCTCCACAAAAAGTGGTTTGCGTTCTCGTGGGTGCGGGGCCACTGACGCCAATGTTGTTTTCGGTTTCTTTTCGGCTCTGGGGGCCGCGTCCTGTTTTCGGCCCCGGGGGGCGCTTCTCATTCCTCGCGTTGCCGAGGTGCTGCGAAAGGGCGCCGAAGACGCCGACGACGACGGCCAGGCCGAGGCACGGGCTCGGAGTTCGCTGATGTTCAGGCCCAGCGAGCAGGAGCTCACGTGGCAGAGTTCGGGGCCGCACACCGTGCGCCGCTCGGGGTTCACTCTGGCTCACGCGCCCTTCCTCGCCTCCACGCTGTCGCAGGG